TGGCCCGACAGGTGATGAATGGTGAAACTTATGAGAACAATGGGAGACACTTTTCTTCTAGAAGAGAATGAGCATCAATTTGTTAGTTGTTCTATAACTCGTCCTTTGATTAGTGTAGTATGAAAGTTTATACTTCAGAATTGTAAGAAGTATAGGGCGGCCGCACACCAATTGCGTCAAGGCAAGCATCAAGACATGAGAGAGAAGACGCAGTTTTGCTTCATTCGTGATTCGTCAGCATCATGACTCAGACCGGTGTGCGGCCTACCTTAGTTTCAAACTAGGGCTAGCTCATTTATGTATGTAGGTATTGAATGTGTAAGGGTGGGTTATAGTAATTTGGCCCTTGCACCGCGACCATCACTGATCTATTGTATTTCGGATGAAATGGTGGGGGGCGTCATAATAGTCACTTGGTTCCAAGAAGTACTGGCTCAGGCGCTGAAATCTTAAATAAGGTAAGGTCTCACAATCACACAGGATGTGTGTGTGGCTGATTCAAGCTCTTCTAGGCATCTTTCACAAGTGGGCTCGTCTGTCCATACCAGTTGCTAGCTCATCTAAATAAAATTTTAAAATAAAATTTCTATAGAACAGAAAACAGTGCATCTTCATTAAGAACAACAATCGGTTAATGTTATTTTACCGGAAATAATCGCTGCATACAGCGAAAATCACACGAAACACAAAAATTAATTCCGCGGGTAATCTGCAGACCTGCTCGTGCTAAAGCAACCAGTACGTAAAGTACCCACTACGCTTTGAGAAGTTACTGTACGCCGGTATAGCGAATGGTTATCGGCTGGACGACCAAGGGGTCGGAGTTCGAGTCCCGGTAGGGTCAACAATTTTCACTTCTTCAATCGTCCAGACCTGCTCTGGGATCCACCCTACCTCCTATACAATAGATACCTGGGGCTCTATCCCGGGGATAAAGCGGTTGGAACTTGAAGCTGACCACTCACCTCCAACTAGTGCCGAGGTCAAGATAATGTGGATCTATACATCCACTACCCCATACGCCTTCTTAGCGTAGTGTTTAATTAGTTAAGTACAGGGACAAATTTACCTTTTTTAACATAATATATGCAACTGAAGAAAAGAAATTGTTAGAGAGGCTTTCAGGGAAACCTCTTTTAAATCTATCTTCCGGTGTTATCTAATTAACCAACCTATTTGACAAAATATTACTGCACATATCACACATACATCGAGGGGATTGTCACGAATTAAAACTCGTAACTTCCATTCCAAGTATTCCATTTTAATCCCGGGCACAGATCTGCTGTTTCCACAGAGATATTCCATGGCTTTATCACGTTCATATGAGAGAATCTCGGGACAATAACCTGATACCCGTTCAATAGGCTGCTTTATTCATCTTCCAGAATTGTCCTGCCATGGACACCACATAAATCTAGAAGTCGATACGGTGTTACGCAATGGCTGAACATAACAGAACCACTGTTTTGACATTCAATAACTCTGCACTTTGTCCACAGTGCGTTTCCTGCTATTCTCAGAACAAACAGAGGCTATTTCTTCATTCACACACACTACCTCCGTCCGCAATGCTGTTTCCTTGGTTGATCTTTGTAATGCAGACAAAGCATGTTTTATCTGCAGTAGGAATTAAAATTGTAGTTATTATTTGTATCAGCGTTCCTGGCTACAGATCCAGAAGTCCGGGTTCGATTCCCGGGGCTACCAGATTTTCTGAGAAGTATTGGGTCTAGAACAGGGTCCACTCAGCCTCGTGATGATAACTGAGGAGCTATTTCAAGGAAATAGCGGCTCCGGTCTAGAAAACCAAAATTAAAGGCCGTGGCGATTCGTTGCGCTCACCGCGCGACACCCTCTATCCTAAAAAGTTGGCACTAAACTTCGCCGAGAAGCGGCGGTCGCTCGGTCGGTATAGTTCGCTTGCGTACTAAAATCACGGAGTTTTTTTTTTTGTATGAAATTTGAGCTTGCTAGAAGTCAGTATGTATCCGCAAGTGCTTGCCATTGGCCAACATAACGAAAGTTTTTCTGTGGTTTTGACTTAACGCGAACGCTGAGACGGTTCCCAGTTTCCCAGTTTCTGCTACTGGTTTCTCATGCAGTCGTCACAATTTGAATCATCAAATTTTGTTCCATTTGCTGCAAAGACCATTATATTATCTTTTCAAAATACACAATCCACTATGGCGACTGGCTGCGGGATGGACGACTAAGGAGACGGAAATAGAATCCCGGTGGGGGCAAGGATTTTCAAACTTCCATGTCGTCCAGACCGGCACTTACGCCCACCCAGCCTCCTATCTAATTTATAACGGACCTTTTTCCCCGGGAGTAAAGCTGCCGGAGCGTGAAACTGACCACTCACCTCAAATTAGTGCCGAGGTCAGGAAAACGTGGGTCTGTACATCCACTCCCCCATACATCACCATGGCCTAGTGCTTAATTAGTTAAGCACATGGACAACTTTATCTTTTTTTTTTCCTTGGCACTACAGCCCCAGTGGGCCTAGGCCTACCTCCATGAACTTCTCCGTTCACTTCGGTTTTTCTAGATCTTACACGTACGGTAGGACTCCTTGGGCGGGTGATCAGCTCGTCGCAAGGCCTCTACCTGTACACAAACACAGAAAAACGCACACACACAAACTAAACATCCATGCCCTGAGTGGGATTCGAACCCACGATCCCGGTTTCCAAGCGAGCGAAGACAGTACATGCCCAACTTTATCTTTACACTTCACTAATATTTTAGAAATTGAAAATTCTGAAAATTTTTCTCATGCCGCTAATTCTAACCGTTCTATAGCCTGCACTTTCCTACTGCCATTATCAGAGGAGCGAGCGGACGAAGGCTGGGAACTGTGATACAGGTGTATACTTTCTCCTACCTCCCTCCCCCCCACCTTCAAATGAAGTGTTTCACACTTCTCCCACGCTCTCCTTATTTCGCTTAGTCTTCTCCTATTCTTCCTTGACTCTCCCTCTTGGGGCTTCAAAAGGTTAAACATCCCTTAGGCTGTACATGTGAGACTGCTGAACAGCAAGGTAACTGGGAAAGTAAACTCAATTAAACTAAAAATCGAACTTGGAGGAATCGATCTAACCAACGACTATACAGCAATGTACACTACCTCTATGATTCCGTGTTTCTGTATTGTTCTCTCGGCTGAAACGGAATTTTTAATAAATTTATGTTGTAATCCATGCACCTAATATATTTCTAATTTTATAAGAATAAATTTGAGGATATTATAAGTATACAAAACGTTATCAGGTTACCAGTTTTCAAGAGATTTAATAATATTGTTTGTGCATAGCTCAATTCAGGACAGCTGAAGAAGAAAAACGAGATTTTTATTGCATAGCCCAATTAAACGGTTAAAGATTATTCTAACTTCTGCTTCTTGTGAACTTAAGGCCCAAATTACATTATACAGAAGGACTCCAGTTCAGCTTTAATGTTACTAAGAATTAAGTTGTCGCAGTCTCCTAGTAATTCCAATTCAATTTGACACACAATTTTGTTCACATCAAGTATTTTTCTTCCGTTTTTCGAATGCCTGACCTCATGAAAGTATGTGACACAGTGTTTCACAATTTTCAAATTTAATTCAGCAATCTGCACACTGAACGACCCTTTGCCTCGAAGGAAACCTTGGATATTGAGGGAAAAGGCTGTCATTAACTACAGCATTATTATTATTATTATTATTTTCCTATGTTCAATGTCCGTTCTGTTAGTAAAAATTGCCCCTCTGCTAGATGCGCTTCTGCTACTAATGTTGTCTATAGGGACATTGACGTCTTTGAACCAAAAACTCTGTTGATGAAACATATCTTATACTGAACTAATTAAACTATTATTATTATCATTATTATTATTAATTTCGTTATTATTATTATTATTATTGTATGCTGCTCAATTTGAAACTCAAATTCTCACATTGTGGCTTTGTCTGTGTATCTTTGCTTCTATATCTTCTTCATGCTGTGTAATTAATATAGACTATCATTTTTGTATTTTGTTTTTAAATTATTTTGTGTATTTCTCTATTCGTGCTAGCTTTGTAATTGGCCTTTGTGCTGTTAAGTTTGCACGTAAATAAACATGAATTGAATCGAATTGAATTGAATTATTATTAAAGCTAATTTCAACTTTCTTAATTTTTATTAATTCACTGCTATTATATTAACTGTCATATTTTGTATTTTGTGCGTTAATTATTTTTGTGTATTTCTATTTACTCGTGCTAACTTTGTAATTGGCTACTGTGCTCATAAGTTTGCACGTAAATAAACACGAATTAAATTGAATTATTATTATTATCATCATCATCATCATTATTATTATTATCATTATCATTATCATCATCATATATTAGAGAGGCCGGCGTTCAACCAGTTCCCTTTTTAACAATTTTCAGATTGATGTTCATGTAAATAATAACAACGACACATCGGCTCCATCTCCAAAAGAAACACACTGCGCCTATTACAGACATATAACTAATTCTTAACGTTGCACTAGGTAATACACCGTAAAAGGGAAAATGCAGTCTTCTAATGTACGTATAGATAATAAAGTGCTTTAAAGGCTTAAATAAATATTTCTTAATATATCTTTGAGCCAAAAGAAGTTGTTAGAATTCACGACCGTTCTGTAACTAATTCACCATGGAACCTTCACCAATTCTTACATATTATTTCATTAATGTGATATGATATTTGGTACCAAATCATGATATGTTACCTCTGGCATCAACAGGTTGTGTAATCTTCACAGTATTGCACGTTCATGACACCCTCACATTCACAACAAATTCACAGAGGAACCGAACACATAAAATCAACGTTACACAATGCAGTTGCTTGTACACATGACACGGGGAAAGAGTTTTGTGTTACACCATAACGGCTTGCAGAGATCTAAGCGTCCAGATGGTGGATTAACAATACTGAACTTGGTAAATCTCAATGCAAGCAATGTGAGAGCCTTACCTTTCTGTAGCCCACACGAACCGGCAGCTGGTCAGAACACAACTGAGGCACTGTGGACGTCTGCGCGCACTGCATGCTGGATGGGCGGGTTGAGCAGGCGGGCGTGGCGAGCCCGGGGTTCGCAACCTGGCTGTCGTAGCGCACGATCTGGCAGGCGCAAATCAAACACCTAACAATAACAGATTTACAGTTGTGAGGGGCGGCGATCTTTTGGGTTGCGAGTTCTTAAGTTTATTCACAAAAATGTAGATAGTACATGCCTCTGAAATATTGTTACCATTCTATCACACCGCACAGTGTTAGGCCGCTAACACTTACTTACTTACTTACTCACTCATGGAGCTGAGCCCTTCTTGAGGAGCCGCCAATTCTGCAGCTACTCAAGAATTTCCCAGCATTTTATGGAACCCGAAAGTTCATCACCGTGTTCACAAAAGCCCTCCACTGGTCCCTATAATGAGCCAGATTTATCCAATCCATACCATCCCATCCTATCTCTCTAAGATCCATTCTAATATTATCCACCCACCTACGCCTTGGTCTTCCCTGTGGTCTCTTTCCTTCTGGCTTTCCCACCAATAACCTATACGCATTCCTCGTCTCCCCCATTCGTGCTACATGACCTGCCCACCTCATCCTCCTTGATTTGATCATTCTAATTATACTTGGAGAAGAGTACAAGTTATGAAGCTCCTCATTATGCAGTTTTATCCAACCTCTTGTCATTTAATCTTTCTTTGGTCACAGAAGGTTAAAATATGAAACTCGTAACGAATTAGGTCAACAAATTCTGAAGCTCACTTGTATTTACACCCGTCTGTATAAGAACTATAGTTTGAACTGTAAATTAATCAACTATAAAGCTACACTATTTGATATTTCTACAAAGTACTAAACACTATTTTTTTTACCTTTGGCGCTACAGCTCCAATTTGGGCCTTGGCCTACCTCCATGAAACTCCCCGTTTCACTTCGGTTTACTAGATTTTATACATTCGGTAGGACGCCTTGGGTGGGTGATCAGCTATTCGCAAAGCCTCTACCTGTACACGAACACAGAAAAACGCGGGCACACACACACACACAAACATTAAACATCGATGCCTTGAGTCGGATTCGAACCCACGATCCCGGCTTCCGGGCAACCAAAGACAGTGCATGTCTTAGACCGCTCGGCTACCGAGACCGGCCTAACACATTAAAATAGTTTTCAATATTCTAATTTCGAACACCAGTTTCAATCAACAGAATGTGATATATGACGTAATACTTTTTCCAGCCAAATGATATGACATCATTCCTTGTCGTAATTTGTGGGGTCACTTGATGGTCGAAGATAAAATCTGTCTTATTATGTTTAATTTCTTGCGTTCATTTTTTGCTTTTCTTTCCTTTGCAACGTGAATAATTAACATATACAATCGGAGTACGCGACAATAACATTTAAAAAAATATATTAGTTGTTCGTTGAAATGTAAAATAAAACATATATACATATAAATATACTTTTGAGTCATACTGGACTGTGTAGTCAAATCATTTCTATAGTAAGTTACTCACATTAATCATTTCATATTCTGGACATACAGCGGACGCCGTTTACTGTGATCGCTTCGGGGCATATATTAATAGATAATAAAACCGACGACAGGAAAAGGTTATTTTTCAGCGTCGTTTATTGATGCAGAACGGAAATACGTGTATGTGCATAAAAAGGTGGAAGTGGGCAGGAGGAAACTTTAGAATCAAGCAATATAAAACAGGTTGTGTTCACTGTCCGCCATTTCTTCAGCAGAGTGGTCAATACGAATGAAACTGCCGTAACGGTTATGGAAATCCGTGCGCACCATTTAAACAGATAAAGAAAATATTAAAATTAAGAATTCGAAATATTCTTTTGAAGTTGATTGTTTTTTTTTTTGTCTTTTCTGGGAAAGATATTAAATACAACGTTCATATCGACTCTGAGTTCAAGAAATAGCCTATGTTACGTAATCGCTTCCGCAGTTCATATCTCGACACAGCAGAAATTGATAACGGAAACCGAAGATCTGATTATAATAAACGTCGTTTTTCTTTGTTTTATTGAAGTGATATTAAGCGAATGATAATATTAACCGTGACTGCAATAAGCGGCGTCCGCTTTAATACTCATATGATGTGAAACCGGACGTAAATTAAAAATATGGACTGATAATTCTGTATAACTTAAGTAATTTATAGATTATATGGTGAAAACGGAGATTAGAGCCATATAAATTTTTCGTAGCGTAACAAAGATCGATTTAAATTCTTTCAGTGTTTGGACACAATTCATTTAAAATGTTATATGAACTGTTTTGTAATAACGCTACAACATTGTGCAGGTAAACTTTATAAATGCGGACTGCCTGTCGCAGAGGCGTTAGACACACCCTCAGTGTTCCGCGACATGAACAAGTTTGTACAGTATAATATATATTGTGACATGACGCCTGAAAGCCAGAGTAGACGTTCATTGCTACGCAATGACTCGGTAAACAGGTCCTCGCAGCAACGAATAATCAAGCAACAATTGAGGTATTTTGAGGCTATAACGATGACAGCAGTGTTTTCTGTTGGGCCCGCGCCGAGACTATATAACTAGGATCCGCGACCAGCTAGAATCAGAAATGAGGAAGTCTCTTGAGACGGTAGTGGAAAATGATTTGAGTAGAGAATACAACGAGCTAAGTGAGTTGCAAGAGTGCGGCTGTGAAAAGAGGACTTTATGTGTGCTTCAGTTGCAGTGAGACTCGTATAACTAGTGTGTGGAAATCCGTTGCCAGGATACGACTAATGAAGACCGAGAACCTCTGTGTGTGTGTGTGTGTGTGAACTGTAAAGTGTGTAGATCAGCGATGGCGCTATATTACTTGTAGTTACGAGTTGAATGTATAAGTGCAATAAATCAAATCTACACCGCGTCTAATAGTCACAACACATCATAAATCGTGACAACATAAACCAAATATATTAATTTTAAGATTTGAGGTTTTCGCTGTGATGACTATGAAGAATGTCATCTTAGGGGCTGTGGTGTCCCGTAGATCTTGTGTGAACCGACGTTTCGGAGGAACGTATCGCCTCCATTTTCAGGGTCTGCAGTCACCTGCTCACGCTGGTTCCTCGCTAGTGGATTTTTATACTCTGAAGATGGAGGCGTTATGTTCCTCCGAAACGTCGTTGCATATAACATATATACGGCGCCACATCGCAGAAGACGGCATTCTTCAATTTTAATAATGTTTCTATTCGTAATCATCCGTATGTTTATTGTTTATTTAATAGCGCGTTCAGGAGCTCAGATTCTGTAAAACACAATGATAAGATTGCTAGTAAATAAAGAATTGTAAATGAAGTTGACGTTGCCTAGTTTGAGGTACGAACTGTCCCGAAATATGCTTAGACGCACTAAGAAACTCCAAGAATGTCTCAGGAGAGTCGATTTCCGAACCGACATATGAATCCGAGAAATGCATCACACGAAAAATGACCGCTAATCACTGGACTGCGACTTCCGGTGCCGTAGCAAATCATAATCAGATCTGCTACACGTAAGAGAGCAGTCCCTTTAACCGCCACTGGAGCGCTGAACTGCGCTCTGTGCTCTCTCCCCCCGCCGTCACTTTATTATGAAATTTGCCTCTCCTCTCAGCTTTCAAGTACGAACTCAAATCGCATTAGACTAACTTAATTTCCCATGTAAGAGCGGGTTAACAATAAAGAAAAGTCGCCTTTAAAATGATATCTGGAAGGTATAATATTGTCTGTCGTTTTGTATGAGTATAAAATTTGTCTATCCATGAAGTGACTGTGGTGTAAGGTACATATATACAATTTGGATAGCCATGAGTTCGAATCGTATTCTGCGCATAAATGTAGAATTACGTTATGCTCTGTTGTCTCGAATATGAAGAAAATTTCAAAGGCCCGATCCCCCAACCAAGGACTCCTACAATTGTTTCAGAATTAATTGGGAATCCGAAAAACTCGACCTAATCGTGATAGATCGACAAGACGAAAATTAGATAAAGTAATTAGAGGGGGAGTGGGAACTGCCCACATCGAAGCAAAAGTTACAGTAAACGCATTTCCGCGGGGACACGATTCCGGGATAAACAATCCGTTGTTAGGAAAAGCCCTACTTACTTACTTACTTACTTACTTGGTCCGCGGCATAGCTCAAGCGTTTAGTCGCTGGCTTCCCGGGTTCGATCCCGAGTCTGGTCAAGTGGGATTTGTGGTGGACAAAGTGGAGCTGGGGCAGGTTTTCTCCGAGTACTTCGGTTTCCCCTGCCAATCTTCATTCCACCAATAAATACTGCGGCCAGCTCAGACTCACTGATGACGTATGAGCACTTATGTTCCCTTATTATATCCGCATTTTGGTTATCTAATTTCGTTGACCCAGTAAGCGGTAAAGTTTATATGAAGATCATTCGCGATACTTTGAGTGTCCCTTTTGTTCCCTAGCCCACACAAGAATCATTACTATTTGAAACTTCAAGGTCTCTTGCAACTGACGTTACCTTTTTGGTTTATTTAGAACATGTCTACGTTCCACTCATAAACAATTTGATTTACTGCTGTACCGCCCAAATAAGCTTGCGCCTGTTTTTGGTTTTACGTATAAAGTCCAGTAAACTGTAGCCGCTCGACGACGTACATCTGCCACGACTGTCGCTCGAGATGAGTTCTTTGTCTCAGGGATACAAGTGCTTCGGATTTGGGAGTGGAACACACTTCGGGGTTCATGAATCACGGGTCTCCAGAACACACCGTGTATTGCAGTCTTAATTTAAAATTTTATACAGTAATCAATCCTTATAGTATTCGTCCAAGCTAGCCGCTCCGTCACACTTAACCTTTATACACCAATTTGCCCCCAGCTCACTGACCATACACGCTACTCCCCAGCTAACCTCCTGTAATTCCCCTTCCAACTGCCCACCTCCGCTCCCTGTACACAACTGCCCTCTCTTTACAAGTTTCCCATTGGGCATAAAACAAAACAAGAAAAAGCCAAGGGTTGAACCCTGCATCTGCCCTACATTCGTATTTTTCGAGATGCCCATCATAAACTTTTTTAG